AGTGCTTATTAAGTCAGTTCCGTTGTTTAGTTTAATTTACTAACTAAACTAAAGTAACCGTTTAGTTACCTTTGACCTTTAACAAATTTGGTAATTCAGGTTGTTTGTTTGTTTGTTTGTTTTTGTAACTGAAATTAAACCTATATCATAGCATTGTCAGGATTCATCCCTGATTGGGAACTTACTAGTTTTAGGGCGTTGGCAAGTTATTTTAATTTTTTAAGCTTGATTTTTAAAAAATCTTTAAATAGAAGAGCAGTGCTTGCTACTTAAAGGGCTTTTGTGAGAAATAAAGTATGTAAGATACATATTAGCTTTGTGCTTGGTAAATGGTAGATTTCACTGTCATTCACTTCCATCAGTTTGCCCTGAGAGATGTCTCCCTTGCATGGTCTTTGGTCCACTATTTGGATCTACACAGACTAAGTAAAATCTTTCTTCTAATTGGATCTCTCATTATGTTTCCCACATGTTTTCTTTCCTCTGGTATAGACTTCCCCAGTATCTCCAAGGTATTTCTTTAATAAGATTTTCAGCTTTTCACTATTCTGGAAATGCTTTCCAGATGGCCTTTAGTTTGTCAAGGTTCTTTTCAAAATATGATGTTTATATCTTTTTTCCTTTAATTTTTAACATTTGTTTATTTCTGAGAAAGAGAGCATGAGTAGGGGAGGGGCAGAGAGAGAGGGAGACAGAATCTGAAGCAGGCTCCAAGCTCTGAGCTGCCAGGACACAGCCTGACGTGGGGCTCGAATTCATGATCATGAGATCATGACCTGAGAGGAAGTCAGTTACCCAACCAACTGAGCCATCCAGGCGCCTCTGATGTTTAGATTTAAATGTGGAATTGCAGGTTACGATTGACCAGCCCAGAACACTTTGAGACCATCATCTTTATTGTGTGTGAACTTTTTTTAACGGAACCAAAGTTTAAGTGATAGATTTGCCATATTACTGATTCATATTGAATCAACTTAAATCATAGAGTTGTTTTCATATTCGCTGCTGTTAAACCATGTGTTCCCAATTCTGTACTCATGAAGTTTAATTTAAAAAAAAACTTGGAAGACTTCACAAATTTATGTGTCATTCTTGCACAAAGGCCACATTGACCTTCTCTATATCATTCCAATATAAGCGTATGTGCTGTTGAAGTGAGCATGTTAAATTTTTTAAATCATAAATATAGGATTTTTTTTTGATCTCTGGTAAAATTGGTTTCATTATTTTGACTCATTATTCTTACCTATTTATTTTAAAATAAGTTTGGATTTTGATATCCAGCATATTGCCTACTTGTTGCATTCTCTGTTTACATATTTAATCAGAATTCCTTTTATTTAAGTTAATTAAACTGTTGAAGAAGATAGGCCACTCCGGAGATCTGTGGGGTGAAAGAGAGTGTACCCTATCCCCATCCAGATGAAATTTGATCAACATTATGGAGGTCTAGTCAATTAAATAGCTATAAACTCTCCATACTGTAATATCATTCAGTTCTTAGTTCTTTACCATTTCATATACATGCTTAAGAAATGAGGAAATGAAGTTATCTCCCTTCTCCATGGCATAAGGGAAAGCATATAACCGAGAACAGGGATTCATATCTTTGTACTTTAACGAACTTGTTAGGTGACATGTGAAAAATTAAACCTACCCTGGATGTTCTCATATGCAAAAAAGAGATAACACTATTACATTTTTCACTGTTTACTGAGAAAATTAAGAATGGTAATAATTAGGGGTGCCTGGGTGGCTCAGTCGGTTGAGCGTCTAATTTTGGCTCAGGTCATGATCTCATGGTTTGTGGGTTCGAGCCCCACATCGGGCTCTGTGCTAACGGCTAGCTCAGAGCCTGGAGCCTGCTTCAGATTCTGTGTCTCCCTCTCTCTCTCTGACTCTCCCCTGATCTCTCTCTCTCTCTCTCACTCTCTCTCAGAAATAAAAACATTAAAATTAAAAAAAAAAGAATGGTAATAGTTAGAATAAATTCTCCATAAAATGAAGATATTGTTTATTTCAGTAACTGGATCGAGACACAGATTATCTTTTATTGTTGTATATGTTTTAAACATACAGATGAAGAAAAGAGGCTCAGAGAAGAAATGTATCACCAAGATTCAAACTCATATCTGTTTTGCTTAAAAATATATTATCTTTCCATAATACTATGGTACCTCACTGAGAACAGTTTAAATTGCTTTGTATTATAAAATCCTAGATGAATATGAATTGTTATAATTTAGTTTACCAGTTAGAAAAGACAATTAGGTTCATTTAACATAATTTATCCTTTGTGAATTTAAGTAGCCTCTTGATGATTACAAATTCACCTTTAATATACTCACAAATCACCTTTCAATAGTTACTGTTGCTGGTTTTTTACTTTAGACACAATAGGTTCTAGAATCATCCCTTCTTCTTAGAAAAACTCTATTTATCCTTCCATAGGTTTTTGGTACTTCTCACATTGAGAAGTATGCTATGTTTGTGTGTGTGTGTGTGTGTTTTCTATAAACTGCTTACATGTAACTGTGGAAAACTAGATGATAGGTAAAGAGTTACACAAATTGTAGTCAATTATTAAAATGAATAACAGAAGGGCACCTGGGTGGCTCAGTCGGTTAAGCATCAGACTCAATTTTGGCTTAAGTCATGATTTCACGGTTCAGTTCATGAGATAGAGTCCTTCATCAGGCTCGGTGTGGACAGTGTAGAGCCTGCTTCATATTCTCTCCCTTTGCTCTTCCTCTGCTTGCACGTGTGCACTGTGTCTCCCAATAAAAGTAAAATAAAATAATAAAATAAAATAAAATAAAATAAAATAAAATAAAATAAAATAAAATAAAATAAAAAAGTAAAATAAATAACAGAAATAGAGAGTTGTCCTAGATGGTCAAGAAAGTAAACAGTGTGAGCTGCAGGTATCAGCAAAGACTTCATAGTAAAGACTGTAATTCTAGACTACAAAAGATCAGTCCTTCATTTTTGTATTTTCTTTGATCAAGCAAGGAAGCATTGATTGTATTTCTTGGAGATTCCATGAATCTGTTTACACTTTTCTTTGCCTTTTTGGGCTTCTTCTGTCTGCATTGGCACTCAGAAGCAGTGCTGACGGTCAAAGCTAACTGGTTCATTCCTCTCAGCCTATGGTCCATGAACTGCAATACACAGAGCTCAAAGAACCATCAGAAGAGTCTTGGGGGAAACATGTGTTGACTGAGAAGCAGGGGGGTAGTTATTGCTTAGAATGTCTGAGAAAATGGAGCTGCAACAAGCCCAGGCACTTTTGCCTGAAATCTGTAGGTTTGTAATTTACTTATATTATAAACATGTATCAAACACCTACTCTATACCAGGAACCGGGCTAAATTTTGGAGATAAAAATCAAGCTAAATGTGTCCTCTAGGAAGTTTCTCACAGAAGATGAAAGTTGAACTTCTTGGTTGAGTTTTGAAGAGACACTAGTTATTAGTTGGATGAAAATATTCACAGTGGAAACAGGTCAGGGGAAGCAAGTAGAGAAGCATGAAATAACCTGACAAATCTGAGAAACTAAAAATGCTTCTGGATGACTAGACAATACGTTGACTGTGAAGAAGTGATGGGAGCAAAGCTGGAGGAGTCGTCAGGAAACAGATAATGAAGAATTTTGGTTGCTAAGACAGGGAATTTGAAATCTTATTCTAAAAGCTCTGGTGGCCCACTGAAGGAATTTAATCAGCATAATGAAATGATTAAAACTATGCTTTAGGAAGATGGCTTTTATGAGAAGTGTAGAGAGTAAAAGGGAGAAGAACCATTTTGAAACCCAGGTAGGAGACTATAGCAGTAATCAGGTTGGAAACAATGGCTACTGACTAGAGCACTGGCCATTAGTGGGAATCAAGTAGAGGGAACAAAGCAAATGATATTAAAGGACATAGAATTTGAGTGCGTGGTGCTAAGAGGGATGACATGGGAATAATAGAGTGAAGAATCTAGGTCAATTCTCACATTTTTTAATATGGCTCAAGGCATTGATTATGATTACTTTCATTGAGATAGGGCATAAAGCAGGCAGATCAATTTTTTGGGTGGTAAGGTGATGAGTTCAGTCTTTGACATGTTAAGATTTGGGTCTACAGTATTTCTAAGGAGATATTTTAGTTGGAAATTTTATATGAGAATCTGAAGCTTATTTAAAATAAGGGAGGAGAGAGAAATTTATTAGTGTATAAAAATGGTGGTTTGAAGCCATGGGTTGACATGGAAGGAGGAGATACCAATAACCAGTGTTTTGGAAGGTCTGTCCAAACACCCACTTCTTCTTGTCATTTGCAATGATGTGGATGGAGCTAGAGTGCATTATGCTAAGCAAAATAAGTCAGTCAGAGAAAGACAAATACCACATGGTTTCACTCATATATGTAATTTAAGAAAAAAAAAACATGAGAGAGGAGAGGGAAGAGAAAGGGAAATAAACAATAAGAGACTCTTAAAGATAGAGAACAGACTGAGGGTTGATGGAGGGAGGTTAGCAGGTGTGTGATGGATATTAAGGAGGGCACTTGTTATGATGAGCACTGGGTGTTGTATGTAATTGATGAATCACTGAATTCTACTCCTGAAACCAATATTGCACTATATATTAACTAACTAGAATTTAAATACAATTTTGGAAGAAAAAAGAAAACAGAAGCATACACTTCTTCTCTAAGAATTCTCCCTGACCTGATCCACAGGTGGACATATTTGAACTGTGTGACTTTGCATATTGTATTAATAGTCATAGCTAGTTGGTCTAAACTGTAGTAATCAGAATATATCAGCTAGGGGATATGACATTGAAACATCCTTGCACAATATCTCTGCATGTTGTTTGGCTGTGGAAATATAAATTCAGGAAGTACGGGGCAACCATATTTGGCTATGAAACAACTAAACAAGTTAAGTTGAGAGGAATGGAGGCAAGCTTGGGGAGGTAATAGAGAGAAGTTCCATATTGCTTAATAGTTTTTAAGACTCTGACAACCCTTCATGAAGCTTTAGTTTCTGGAAATACCCGAAAAATTCTTCCAACAAATTCCAGTCCACTCCCTCAAACACCCTTTAGTTTTGTATGGAATGAAAATATTACTTACAGAAGGAAAATTAGACTGTAACTACTTTGAAAGCCTTAATGAACACATGAATCTAGGCAGTGAGTAGTAATAGCTACTAACAAAACAAAAACTGAACAATCAGATATTATGTGTCTCTTAAGTATAAAATGGGACAATATTACCTATGGTGAAACACTGCTTAGAAAATCAACCTTGGGTCTGACCACATCTCTAAATCTAACTAACAGTTTACAGGAAATATAGTGTCAGAGGAGCATGTTAAACTATACCATAAGGATAAAATTGGTAATATGTAGACAGTGGGAAGCATTGGCAAATTATCTTACTTTTCTCATGCAAAAAAAGAGTTGGGAAGATGTGGAAAGGTGATCCAAAAAGTTAAATGAGAGTTAAGGGACATGTGAATCAATTTTAATATATAGACCTTATTTTGATCTTGAGTCAAATTTGTTAACTAAAGAGATTTATTCACTGGACATTTTATGATATTAAGGAATTATTGCTTTTAAATATGATGATGATGATATGACAATTTTAAATATTCTTGCACCTTTGAGATACATACATAAATAGTAACAGATGAAAAATATAATTTCTGGGATTTCCCTCAAAATTATTAGAATGTGGCAGAGCTAAGCAAGGCATATAGATGAATCAGATTGGTCCCAGAGTAGGTAATAATTGAAACTGATGGTTCATTATATTATTCTCTCTACTTTTTATGTGTTGGAAATTTATAATAACATAATAAAAAGTTGGTTTTTTTTTTAATTTTTTAAATGTTTTAATTATTTCTAGGAGAGAGAGAGAGACAGCGTGAGCAGAGGAGGGTCAGAGAGAGAGGGAGTCACAGACTCTGAAACAGGCTCCAGGCTCTGAGCTGGCAGTCAGCACAGAGCCCGACACGGCGCTCAAACCCACGAACCCCGAGATCATGACCTAAGCGAAAGTCTGACTCTTAACCGACTAAGCCACCCAGGCGCCCCAAGTTGGTTGTTTTTTTAATAGTAGCTTGATATATACAGGTATTGGCGTGTGAATATCAATGTAAGATACC